GCATGGTCCATTTGGGTTGCATCTCATCCAAACTATTATGGATAATTTTATGAGAGTTATACACATATGTTTATTAATATATTATGGTTATAATATATTAATATGAAGTTACGTTATTTAATTAGTTTTAGTCTTAAATTAATTATGAATTAATTTAGAGATTAAAAGGAATACTAATTAAATTATGGGCTATTTGTTTTATATAGTGTGGGCTAATACTCATTTGTTAATGGGCTAGGCTTATGTGGAAGTCCATGGATGATCCATGGAGCTTTTAACCCATGGATCCTTGGAAAAGGAAAAGACATGGGTTATTAGGGTTTCACCCTAACCATGCACACTATATAAGCATGCTTATGGAGCATGAAATGAAGCCAAAGAGAAAACTAGTGAACTAGTGTGTGTGTGCATGTGTGTGGCCGATTTTATACAAGGTGTATACTCTCTCAAAGTTTTCCAAGAGTTAGTGGTGTTTGTGATTCCATTTGAGGCATTCACACTATTGGTGCTTGGCCCTCAAACTCCTTAGAACCAAACTCACCAAAAGGTATGTAATCTCTTCTAACTCTTTTATGTTGAAATGTTCCCCATGCCATGTTAGATAGGTTATAAACCTTGGAAAATTATTATTTTGCATGTATTTAGACAAACATAGATCCAAGGTTTATTAGGGTTGCATGCACACTTAGGAAGTGTTAGATTGCTCAAAACCCAACAAAGACTATGTAGGGGTTCCCATGGCACCCATAGTAAGACCTTGGAGGGTTTCCTGGGTATCCTTATATGTTAGTATGTACGGTTTATATGGCAATTAATTAAGACCATGTGGGGGTTCCCATGACACCCAGTGTGAGACCTTGGAGGGTTTCCATGGCATCCTTATATGTTGTATGCATAACTTATGTGGTTGATGTGGCATATGTAGCTTGTATGGCTGATATGATTTATGTGATTATGTAGATTGTGTGGTATATGTTATGGGGAACTCACTAAGCTTCATGCTAACAGTTTTGTTTATGGTTTCAGGTATCATTGGTTTGTAAAGGAAGGGCCCAACTTGATCACAGTACATACAACTGTGTTATCCGCATTATGTGATTTTGGGATGTAACTCTGATAAAATGTTTTAATTAAGCAATGTTTTTGAAAGGTTGGATTAAGTAACATTTGTGTTTGACTATAATGAAAAATGAAAATTTTACTCTGAATTTTTGGGTCGTTACAAAGAGAGAGAGTGTGTGTGTGTGTGTGTGAGAGAGAGAGAGAGAGAGATAGAGAGACTCAATAGACGTATGGAGGTGAATCTAGTAAATTACAACTCTAGTCTCTACCACATGTCAAAAGTTATGCATTTTGTTCAAATGTTTTATTTGTTGCAAAAATAGCCCCATAAAGTTTACTTTTATTGTATGTTAACTTCAGTTTAAATGATCATTTTCCCGTTTCTTCTCCATTTTCTTAATCTCCTTCGATATATCTTCAACAAGCCCTTACTTTAAACGTATAACCATATCATAAATCCAAAATTAGAATTAAACTAAAGCAAAAGCTAAATCTGAAATTTATGGCCGAAAACAAATATTTTTATAAATACAATGGTCTTTGAGGAGTATAACTAATATTTTTATGGAGCTAAGCAAACTGGAATTGTGAATCTATCAATAAAAGTCAAAAACTTTTCAACTAAAATTTCTATTTCAAGCTCTCGAAAGTAAATGTTTACTACTTTAGAAACATGGAGTATAATAAATTTTCCTTTTAGCTGAAGCTATCATCTTTTGGTCATTAATAGAAGAGTATTTATGTCATTTCACAAAATAAGGACCATTTATGATATATTTTTTATTTAAAAAAATATAATTATTTAATACATAAAGGGTCCCTCCATCTCTCTCTCTCTCTCTCTCTCTCTCTCAAGTGTTAATTAATGGAAAATAGGATCCATGGGTAGCAATAACATCATCTCTCGTTGTTTCATCTGATTATCTGCAAAGCTCCCCCTCCCACCCATTTCGTATTCATCGGAGATTAAACATCATGTAGTAGTGCTAGTGCTAGCGGATGAGTACGATTACATGGTTTGGGCAAGAAAAACACATACATTACAGAAATCAGAAATCCAAACAGAGAAGAATTTAAAGTTTGAACAAGAATACCCAAAAAAACCCAGCCAAAAAACAACTTCTAGTTTGAACGATGTTCAAGAACAGAGGAAGAAATGAACAATGATTATAGAAATCAAAAACTCCAAATCAAATAATCAAGAAAAGGAATATTCCGCAAAATCCTGGAACCACTCAACCCTTGTAACCATGGAGGTTCGTTTATAGTGACTTCAAGGCGTGATGCAAAGCTTCATGTTTGGAGTCGGGGATTAGTCAGTACGCAAAAGCTAGCCCATAAACCCTCGTTAGGGAAGTTCCCTTTTCAAAAAAAATTCAAGATTAAATGATTAGGAAACAGAATATTCCATGAACTCCCACTTCTAAAATTAGAAATCCCCAATTGATTGATCAAGCATCAAAACAAGAAAAACAAACAAAAGCCAACATGAAGATCAAGCACGTCTCATCCTAATTTCTCTCATCAGAAAAAACCATCGCTGCTAGATGGATTCCAGTAAATAACATGACACCCATTTGCTCCACCCCGATTCTCTATGAACACAAACAATTGAAGTTTTGAGATATGGGTTCAATACACACACCGAAAAATTAAAACATACACACATAATAATGAAGTAGTGCAGGTGAATATAGGAAAATGCCCAAGTCCTGATCTACAGGTTGTTTATGTTGGTAATGATGATCCTACCTTTTCAGACACCTCTTGCAAAAGGTTCTTGTACATCCTTTGATTTGGACCTTCTCTGATATATGTATATGACAACAAGTTAAAGTAACTCCTCTATGCCAACTCTTGAAGCTAGTTCTTATACATTTCTTTCTCTGAAACCAAATTCGAAGAAGAGAAAATATCTAAATCTCACTTCTATGAACTTCAATCAAAACATCTCCTAGCAAAGGGGCTGAGATAGCAAACGGGTACGCCATAATCATGGAATTAAGCTATTTTGTAGAAGCATTTGCAAAGATATCAAAGGGGCTGAGATGGAGTTTTTGTGTATGTGCCCTGAATTAAAAATAAATCTTAAAATTCATATGGTTCTTGAAGAAATAAACTGGAATCGAAAAGGGAATATGTAATAAACCCAAAAATTGATTGAAAACGAAATTAGATTGCAATTTCAATTTTTAGATCCAGTACACATAGTGAATATAAGAACACAAACCCATAAATTGCGTTTGTCTTTTTGCATATTTTCGAGTTGTAAGGTTTTATGCTCCTGAAGATTTAAGGATGAACACAAGAAGAAGAATACAAAGGATTTTTGGTTCGTCCATGTTTAGGTGGTGACCCTAAGGGGGGGGGGGGGAGAGAGAGAGAGAGAGAGAGAGAGAGAGAGAGAGAGAGAGAGAGAATTGCATATTAAATTTAATTTTTTTAAACAAGCAAATAATTAAAAACCCTCATAAATGGTCCCCTGGGATAAAGAAATAACGAAAATACCATTGACTTAATAGACAAATACTCACGGAATAAACCATATAAACCATAAGGATTAAACATTAAACCTTTTGAAACAATATCCGTAAGGTTTTTTAAAATTAAAGAAACTTTAGATTTTATGAAATAACAGGAACTATTTAAAATTAAAGAAACTTTAGATTTTATGAAATAACAGGGACTATTTATGAAGTTTTGTCTGAGTTTTAATATAATCCAAGAATCAAATTGTTGTAATTTACTGAGATTAATTTGTGTGCTACCTTTTATAGCCCAATGCTTGACTTGTTTATATAAATTTATATAAATGATTATTAAAATAGAGAAAAAGTACCGATGTGCGTGGTATAGATATTAAAAGGATCAAATTTCAATTATTTTCTTTTCCCTTGTTCTGGTGTCCCTCGTTCACATAAATCATTACATTGCGGGTGATACACAAGCACTATTGCATCACATTAGGTACATAAAGCAATTGAAGGATACTTATAGAATGTGCCATAAATAAAAGAGAGAATGAAAGATCGTGCTGTGATAATGGAACGGGTCATACGTTTCAAGCTCTTAGTTAGCAGAAAAAGCTATAGATGCATCATGTATCATGTATGTCATGTAAATGTATATATCAACATTTTTGTTTGTCGGCGTTATTCATAAATCTCGATTGTTCCGTTTAATTGGCTAGCTAGGAATCAAGATAGTTACATTTTTTTTTTTTAAATTTATTTTAACATAAATAAAAAGGAAATAAAAAACGTTGTAAGAATAACTTTTGGGTCGGTTGGGAATTGATTATTTTTATCCGATACGTAACAGTCAATTTAATGGAAACTAAGAAATTTGATATATAAAAGCAGAAAAAAAAATTATTTTTTGAGATACATCTTTTATCTTAATATGGATGCTCATAATTAAAAGCTAGAGTATAAAACTCGGAAAGAATCAAACGTTTCCATTAAAAGCGATATACTTATATAGTCATAAGAAGAAATGAAACAATATTAGATTATGGATTGTTCAAGTGGAGAAGGATGTATCGGCGTTTTACATAATTATATGATGAGCAAGTTAAAATTGGTATTACGTACTATAAGTGAAATAGCTTTGGATGAATATGCATACATATATATATACAGACGAATTTGGTGTGTGTGTGTGAATATGCAGTTCAAATAAATATGCATGATATATTAAAAAGAACGAATTAAATAATGCGATGAATATTTCCTCATTCGATCGATCAGTTAAATTCCCTACAATTAATATATAACAACTCTCAGCCTTGTAGCTAGCTAGCTACCTCATTTGATTTCTCAAGGCTAGGGAAAACAACACGAAATCCTGAACAGCTACACTAGTTTAGCGGCATATATGTTAGACAGACTTGAAGAATATTAGCATGTGTTAATAAGAAGAGTGATGCTACGCTACGCTTACAACCGGAGAGTAAGGTCCAGGACGTCGGTGGTGTTGTCTGTGGGCGGAGGAGTGATATGATGGATGACCAGAGAGCTGGTGGCGTCGGCTTGAAGTGGGTGGTCGAACCAGCTGGTATAGGCGGCGGCGGAGGTGGATTCTGTGTTTGGAAGGTGGTTATCGGCGGTGGCCATGCAAGAACGGCGAGCGGCGGCTCTCTCACGCTTGTGGGCGTTCTGGTGTCCTCCCAATGCCTGAGAAGTGTAGAACTGGCGAGGGCAGTAGAGGCAACGGAAGAGTCTGGAAGATTGATTCGGTAGCTTAGCATCAGGGTGAGGATCATGGGGATGAGGATGAGGATGTGGCTGAGCCGCCAGAGGATGCAGCTTTAAGAAGTCATACAGCCCTTGCTCCGCCATTGATTAATCTTGAAACACACAGAGAAAGAAAGAGAGAGAATGCGGTGGTGGAAGGATAGAGTGGTTTATATATACATGGTGAATGGTGATGATGGGATGGTGTTGAAGCTCTTTAAATTTGTCTTTATCTAATCAAGGCTTTCTGAATGGTGATTGGTTCTGTTACCAAAATGACAGCACCACCCCTTCCCACTACCCTTCACTTCTTCGGAACGTTACCTTCATTTAAATTTCTTATATCAACTTAAAAAAACTATTTATGAAACATCAGACGATATTTATTATAAGTGCAAGTCATTCTTACAAAATATAAATTATTCATTAGTGAACATAATTTGATCATTAAGTTAATGTCACTATATTTTACGAACCACAATATGGCTGGGTGTAACTTATAAGAAAAGGACAAGCGGCTAATTAAGAATCATATTTGTTCTTTGAAAACTTTAATCTCTAATTATTTATTAGAGTGTAATCAAAACTCAAATATGTTTATTCTTTAGGAAAACAACCTATTTATAATATTTTGACTCCTAATTGTTAGAATTGTAAACGAAAATATGGCCACTTTGATAATCAAATTGTTCCTTTTAGATATTGATAATGTTCATGGTCTTCGATTGATAATTCAATCATATTAATGGATTAACACGATTTCACTATAAGATAATTCATAAAAGGCACATTGGTTTTTAGGTACAAAAAGGAAAGCAATGTCCCGGAGTTGTATAAGGATAGTTTCAAAATCTTAGAAGCTTGAAAAATGGCATATTATAGTATTAATACTCATATTGTCCGAATTTGGTAAGTATGACTAAAATTGACGGTTTTTATAAGCTAAGAAACAGTTACACAAAATTTTACAAACTTTCTAGGCATTAAATTGATCAGCCACCCCAAGATGACGTATTCCAAGCTAACCGAAGTCATCCCTAACTTGGCAAGTTAGGCCGAGTTAACTAGTCAGCTTAAGCTAATCAACATCAGACCAAAACCGACACCTTTCCGACCAACTATAGTTATTTCAAGATGACTCTCTAAACCATCTCTTAGAGTTGGCAAGTTAGCTTAAGCCCTATCCTCCCTCTCTATGCTGGTATGCTATTTTTTTAAAGTGTTTTTCAAAAATTCTATTTAGCTTTTGGGCTTCTGGCGGACTTTTTAAAACACCCCTAATATGAGCAATTTGAGATAATCATTTATTTAATTATTATCAAACAATTAAGAAAAGATGTTGATATAAGGTCCTAACATTCAAATCTTTACCTTTTAGCTCTTTTGAGAGATTAAGGTTCACGATGGTCTAACAACATAGTCAATACATAGATATAGAGTAAACTTTATATCATATCAGTACGAAATTTCTTCTTAATGTTCTTATGCTCTTCAAACTCCTTAAGTCCTCAACTTCAACTTCTAATTTGAATAGTTGTCAAAATATATAGGTTAAGGTTTAGGAAACCTAATGAGCATTTATGGGGTTTAACATTTATAATGCATATGAAGGATCAAAAGTCCATACATAATTTAAAACCCACCCACAAAAAATAATTTAAGCACATCAGGTTTAATGTAAACAATAGTATTGGGGATAAAGTGTAAGATCAACATTATAGACCTAAAGTTCTGCCTTATTTCGGTATAATTTAATTGAAAAAAACAAGTAAATAAATGAAACTGAAATAAACAAGGAGTATATTGAAATAAATGTAAATTAACTAATAAAAACCTTTTAACTTAATAGAAAGTTAAATTGGGTTTAAATGAAAGATTTAAGTTGAATGAGATAAAATTGTCAACATTGAGAAACTTACGTGGAATTGGAATTAACTATGTTTAGGACCAAAAATAACTAAATTATATGAGAAGCTGTGGTGTTGTGAATAATGTGAATACAAAATTGAGATAAAAATAACACGGGTGGTTTACAAGGAAAGTCCTAGATCCTTGATAGGATCTCTGGTATAAAACCTTGAGATGTAATAATGGTCACTTCCATTGTATGATCTTATTGATTTGAATGCAAATTACAAAGATGATGATATAAATACGATTACAAATGTTTGCCTAGCTCTTGGTCTGTAAGGTGTCTAAAGAGTGTGTCAATTGTATGAGTTTTATAAGTGTATTTATAGTCTAGATTATATAACTAAAACTCCTATATTTCTTGGATCCTGTTGAACTAGTATTTCCAACGTGCTTTCACTTGGTATTCCCGGATTTTAAGGCTGGTTGGAGAATTTCTTCGCTGTGAATGACTCTTATGTTGACCATTTCTATGCATGAGATTAATAAATAAAAAATATAGCTGTTAAACTTGTTAGCAAATATTAATCACAATGTTTAAGATACTGTTGTATGTTCGGGATCCTAAGACTCCTTTATGATCGGGGATCCTGGATAGGTTTCAGAATCCTTAGATATCTTTGACATCCGGTATCCTGGATAGGGTTAAGGATCTTCGCTCTATACTACTAGAATATACGCCTTTAGTTACACGGGAACCATGACACACAGTATTTAGGACCCGCATTTCTGCGTGTCCTAAAATTATTGTCTAAACAGAAAAAACACGGAGGTAACCTAAAATAAAACGTGTGTCATCTGAGAATGTCTTTTTATTAATTTTAATAGAACGCGCATTCCATCCTTTAATAGCTAGGGGGAAAATGAAATCCCTAAAAATTAGAAACCCCGCCTTGTGCTGAAAACCCTCATCTCCTTTACATGGCTGAAAACCCCCTTCTCACCAGATTTCTAGCGCTATCTCCCCATTTTGTCGAGATTGTTGTAAACTGCAACATTCTTAAACCAGGGATTCAATTAAATACCATAAACCATACCCTTTCTAGTAATTGGGAGCCAATTAGGGTAAAACGCAACATTCATACCACTTTTGCTCTCAAGAAATCTCAGGTACATACACTTTTTCTCCCTTCTTCTAATCTATCTGATCTCCTCTTTGTTAACGGTCCTACCTATGATGCATGAGTAGAGCATCCATGACTGACACCATCCCTAAAGGATCTTAATCATCGTCACTCATGTTACCTTCTACGAATTCAAGTTGACCTCAATCAATGGGTTAGGATATATTTTTCTGTTTTGATTTTGATTCATTTAGCTTTTTCGTAGTGATTCATATGTGAAACGACACTAGAACGATGGTAATGGTAGCTATGTATGATAATTAGGTTTCTATCGCGATACGACAATATTTCTGATCACTTATATAATTCATTCATTAATGGTGTTATTAACTTTTTTATTCTTTTTCAGAGTCGCATGGATGTTAAAGGGCCTCTCTTTATAGGACTCAAAGTCTTGTCTTCCCATCTTGCAAAGAAGGAACCACAATCCCATAAACCCCCTTCATTTGATTCCTTCTAGACCTTAAAAACTTCTCAACACTTCTAAGTTTTTCTTCTAAAACTCCCACAGCATCAACAGAAAGCCTACACCCAACAATCCCATCTATACTTCCATTAGAAACCAACACATGAATCTCCCACAAAGGCAAAAGTAGCCTTCAAGCACACAAACAAACCCCTTCATGAGCCCCTGAAAGCACCGGTTTAGCTTCTTGTACAACTTTCCCCATACTAAACCCACCAAGGGCAATTCAACTATTTCCCAATGCCACACCACTACCTTCAAGTTGAGGAACCTCAACAACTCTCAGATCCTCAAAAGCCTCATCATCCTTTTCATCCACAACATTGTTTATAAAATTTGCGTATGAACTACCCTTGAAGCCAACATTAAACACACAACAATAGCTTCACCGGATCCAAATTGGTTGAAAACTCTTCCAATATTTCACTTGGTGTGTTGGACTCCAACAATTTTCCATAACACCAATAGAACTTTCCTATGTGCGCATGCAAAACCCTAATGCTTGGATCTAGGCTTTCTAATTAAACATGCTTTGAATCCAAGACTTCTAATGCCTAATTAGGTTAAATAACAACATTGGAACAGATCTAGAACCATACCTTTCAATTCCTTGTTGATCTAGTTGTCTTGGAGCTTCTAGAGTCACAAATGTCACTCCTCTAATGGCTTACAAACACCAATAGCAAGGAAGATGATTTAGGAGAGAGGAGAGGGGAGGAAATCGGCCAGAGTTCTCTTACTTTAGATGAGATGCCGATTTCCCTTACCCATAAGGTCTATTTATACTTGCAGACTCCTTAAGGGTTACAATCTAAACCCTAATGGGATAATCTTCTCTTAAGGCTATCCAAATCCATTCCTAGATAACATCATGGATGATTTTGAGCTATCCTTTAGCTCCTAGAATTCATCCAATCCATATCTGTATGGATTTACAGTCTCAAGTTTAACTATCAAACAATTGACAGTTTATACCCTCTTATTTAATTAATCTCTTTAAGTCACCAAATTAATACTAATTAATCTATGACTTATATTAATCAAATAACTATATATTATTCCTTATAATATTTACTCTCACTTAACAAATCATCCCATCAAGTTGCTATGGTGAAGGCAACCCAAACGGACCATGCACAACCAGGTCAAATACTTGCATAATATAGTTGCAGCCTTAGACACTATTCCAACAGTCTCCCACTTGGATAAGTCTAGTAACTATACAACTACAATTCGGTTTTCAATCGTAGCTCTCAAAGACGCTGTGAAACTCTGATCTAATCAATCTTTTCCTTTAGATAAGGGATCGTACAGTCCTCTGTTAGATATCATGCTGACAATCCTATGGAATGGTTAGTCTAGCATTTGATTTCTCGATCTCCGATTTATTCGACATAGAACTTAATCAAACACATCAATTTAGTTCTGAACGGGCCTGGCACATAAGTCAAATCAAATCATCGAGCGGCCAAGATATCGCTTTTACCTTTTTGATGAAAGTTACAGATAAACTTCGACTTATATGCATTTAATTATTCATTAACCAACTATACACAACAATGCATTTTATAACACCGAGGAACTGATGCGTTTTCGCATTGTCA